GAAGGCCTCGACCAAGAGAGCTCGACCTTAACACCCATGGCCGAAAGGGCTCGACCCTCAACCGAGAGTCGACCGGTCTATAGGTGTCAAGTCACTCGGAGATTTACGGTCAACCGAAAGGTAAGACTTCATTTAATATCCTACTACAACATTTTTTGCACATAATTCTCTCTGAATCCGAGATCCTAACTTGGGCGTCGGAGGGCTTGCGCCGAAGAAATTTCGGCGCGCTTTCAGGTACCGGAGAACACTCAAGCTCGGACCGGACCGAATCAAGTGACCAACATCATAACCGAGAAGAACCTTCCGCAAGACCGAAGCCACCGATCTCGGACCATATCACGTAGTGTATATATTAGTTAATAAGGGTATAATAAAAAAAAATTCAAAAAATTCAAAATGACATATATTTGATTAATAATTGATAAAACCAAAGAGGTAGTAGCAAAGATGAAAGATATATATATATAATTAGTTTATTTTTTCGTCTAACATGCCATATAATGTTTAACCCAACCTATCTTTTCTCAATATTATTAATATATTTGATAATACTAATAAATTATCATCATATGTCGCACCAACTTTAATTTACAATTAATCAACTGACATATTTTTAACCGTACATCACTTAATTCCAATCGTTCATCTTCTACCTTTAAATCACATTAATTTTAATCATTATATTTTAAATATTGTTAAATAAAATCCACTCAAACAAAAAACTCAATCATTTTTGTTTTTTTTTTCAAAATTAACCTACTTTCATCAATAAATACAAANTAAATACAAAAAAAAAAAAAAAATCAAAATAACTTATATACAACCAAGCCAAAATTTATTTAGAGAAAAGTGACAAAATTAGAGAAAATTCAGTGCTACCTCAATTAGGGGTAGTGCAATCAGCCCCAAGGGGCCGTTGATTTTTCACACACCCGTGTGGATGTGTGTTCGTATAAATCAACAATTTGACTACACGGTCACTAGGAGCAGAATCGAAATTTGCAAAACTAGTACATAATTGAACTAAAAAAAAATTACCGCTAACTTTAACATTTGGCAATGCTACATATGTACAATTGTAGTTCATAACATTAATTGGCAACATTTGTTAAAAGTATCAATAAATCATTTTTTTAACCATACATGTATTTGCATCTCAACCAATAATTTTATATAGAAAATATCTTCTAACCATTTCAACCTATTCTTTTTTTGTCCAATTTTTGATCATAGATATAAAAAAACTTGCAATATCAATCAATCTAATTTTTATAGCCTTTCATGGATCTTCACTTAATTTAATGTAAATTTTTATTTTATTATGCTTGAAATTGACATTCTCTTATGAAGATGTTATTTGCAAAAATATATAGATTTTTTAGTTTATGGATTGCCAAAATCAAATTAATAAAATAAAAAAAATATTATATATTTTTTATAAATATATAGACAATACTAAAAAAATGAGACTGGAGCGAGTTATTTTAATTTATATTATTTCACAGTATGTGTAAGGATATATAGAAATTATCACATTATACTAATTTCGAAGTAACTTAGATGAATTAGTACTATGATAAACATACTCGCATTTTTTTAATGAATTTAGATCGTAACTTTAGGGTTGCTTTATTTTATTTAAATAAAATAGTTTTTAATTTTCCTTTAATATAATAATATGAAATTTTATTTATTTAACTTAAGTAATATAGTTTTTATTATCATTTAGTATAAATAACATTTAAATCTACTACCAATATTTTCGATGTAATAATCTTTTAAAACAAATAAATATTAATCATTTAGCAATTCTACTAACTCCGCCGCCCTAAATTGAAATTTATCAACTCCTCAAATCAAGATCTCCCTATATAATTTTTATTTTTTATATAAAAAATCTTCAACTATTACTTATCACAAAAAAAAAAAAAAATTATAAAATTGAATAAACCATGTTCATGTTGCCCAATATTCAATTAACAAAACTAATTTTAATACAACAAGAAATTTATTTTCACAAAATTATGATTTTGATATTTATATGATGCATCACATAGTGATAATAAAATCATTTTTAATATTGCTAGTTGGGGGCCTAATAAATGTTTTAGAGCAATGTGACAAAATTGCCACCAGTAAACTACAAATGATTTTAACTTTTCATACACTTTGGATACGGGTAATTTTATACAGTATAAAAAAATATCTTCCAACGAGATACTCCATTTCAACATCCTTTTTCTTTTTTTTCCTACTTTTGATTATAGAAATCAAAAACTTGCAAGACCCAATCAATCTAATTTATTATTTATGTATACAAAAGTAGACATGTGTCCAACGTGTATTTATTATAGTACACGTGTCAATACACTATTTGTGGATAACGATTGATGACTCCATAAGTCGAGTCATCATCTATAATTTTATGTATCGACATGTGTCTAATGTGTATTTATTGCAGGACACGTATTAATACAACATTTATAGATAACTATAGATGACTCCATAAATCGAGTCGTCCTACGACTTCATAGCAAAATCGTACAAACGTAATAATATAACATTAATAGTGTATATAGAGAGAGAACCACTTGAGGAAGGGGCACTAGGGGAAAATAACATACGGCGGGCATCATTTGTGGAGAGAGACTCGAGAGTATAAAAAGAGGGCTATGCTCTCTACTATACTCCCACCCATCAAACACTCTCATCTTCATCTTCTTCATCTTCTTATTTTTGCCAAATTTTTATCCATTTTTTTCCGTTTTTCGGAGAATGGAAACTCTTATTCAATGAATTTTGTATGAACAAATCTCTCGCCTCCCGTTATATATCTCATCTTACTCTCCTTTAATTTAATTTCTCTCAACCAAAAAAAAAATAAATAAATAAAAATTGTTGCGAGAGAGCTGATTGAATCTGTGCGTCTGCTGCAAATATGGGTGGCGACAAAGCTCTTAGCCTCGAAGAGATCAAGAACGAGACTGTTGATTTGGTAAATCAAAATTATCTTCTATTTTTAGTTCTGTAATTTTTTTTTTTTTTTATGC